CACTTTGTCATTTGTAGAAGTTTTGTTTAACTGTTGCTATTTTATTTCTAATAGTTCTTGGATATTATATGAAAAATTTTATGAAATTTGTGTTTTTTTATTTCAATAACTGTTCACTCCTCTATTTAAAACTTCTTAAAAGTTGATTCTATTGAGTAAATTATAATAACATCTTCAAGTTAAGTAATTTTGTCTCCTGTGCTCCCATACTTATTCTTTAATTTCATTTTCTTGCCTGGTTGCCTTGGTTCACTGTCCAGAGCCTGCCAAGTGATGTAGTGATAATGAGCATCCTTCATTTTTGTCTGATTTGAATGCTAATACCCCTTGCACTTCACTATCAGCATAATGCTTATGTTTGTTTGTTTTGAGAGAGAGAATCTTTAATGTGTTAATAATTCTTCTAACTCCATTTTATTAATTAAAAAATTGATATTGAATTCTATCAAATGATTTTTCAAGATCATCTCTTGTGGTAATACAAAAGTTTTATGACTTACTTATTATACTAATGGATACTGTAATATTGACATATTTCTACATTTTGTTCATGCGTGAGGTTAGTTGATGATTTCTTGTATTATGCTTTATCATTTTCTTTTAGGTCAAGGGTATTATGTAGCTTTTTGTTACTTTTATTTATCTGAACATTTTACATTGCCCAAGAGTTATCTGTGGCTTGAAGCTCAGGGAGAACTTAATTGTGTAAGGAACCCTGACTAAAGCTGTTTCTTGGAAACAATTTCTTAACAACTCGTACGTTTTTCTGTGATTGTTGATCTGTTTTTTGAACATCTGAGCTTAGTTTGCCTCTAATCATTACTTTGGCTATGGCTCACAAATTTCATTATTAAAAACTTACAAGCATTCTGTAGTTGTCTTTTGGATTTCTTCTCCAATTAGCTTTTCTTTTCTTTTTTTTTTTTAAGCTATCATGTTTTTTGGTAAGTGTTTGGCTCTGGTTTAACTTACAATTTGTAATTTTTTTGTGTGTGTGACCATAGAGCATAATTCCTTTTGCGGGGGAAAATACTCAAGATTTTTTTTTGGTAGCCTAATATAAACATGAGTTTTGCAAACTTTCCTTACGTCTTTTCTTAATAAAATAAGTGGACAGTCCTTCTCTTGAATCATAGTTATACATTGAGCCTTGTTTCAATCAAAACAAACCTTTGCAAAGGTTAGATGGAACTAACCTTATTATAACAGTAAGAAATGCAACGAAGGCAGAATACCTGAAAGAGCGGGCAGCAGAACTTGAGTTCTGCTCAGTTCTGAGAACACAAAGCTTCCTAAGAAATCACCAAGGCCCTTAGAGAGAGGCGTGTTCCATCCTGAAATGTAAGAGATGAGTTGAGGGTAAGATTCAGGGTTTTTTGAGTGAAGACAAGTAATTAAGAAACCAGTATTGTCATCCAGTCATCAATGAGAACACATGAGAGATGTTAGAGAACAGAAAGGGAAGAGGGGACTTTGACATTTAAGGGCCAGGTGGAATAAGAGAGGTTTCCATCAGAGGAAGTAGAACTAAAATTTGACAGAAGTCACTGGAGAGCACGTCAAGCAGCCCTTGATCATTTGGGGTCAAATGTGGCCAAAAGGTCAAGTAGAATAAAAAGAGTGTCCATTGCTCTTGGTCTTTGGTAACTTGGGGAGAGCCTTAAGTTGGATGTGGGATGGAGAGACAAGTATTTCTCCAAAGACTTAGCTGTGGAGTGAATGACCTAAGGTAGTAACGGAACAAGGGATCAAAAAGAGGGTTGCTAGGATATTGAACAACGTGCACACGTCTGGACGATGACCAGGGTGAGCTGAGAGGGAGAGAAGCCTTGACTGATGTAAAGAGGGTCCAAAGCCCAGGTGGGAGTCGGGGTGAGATCCAAAGCCCAGGTAGGAGGAGGCACTGCTTCTTGAGTGAAGGGAAATGACAGGTACATGTGAGTGGCTTCACCAGAAAGGTGGGCTGTCCCTTCTTTGCAAGGCTGGAAGGGTGTCACTGCAGAACCTCAGTCACATTCTTGGACCCTACTAGAAGAGCCCAAGTTCTGGTCTCTTTGTCAATAGTTTGCTTCATAAGTGCCTTCTGGATCCATCCTCCCTTGCTGATAGAATTTTCAATCTATTTAATCTGTATGCTGTTTCCTCTGTTGGTCACGAAGAAATTTTCAAAAGACTCTCTTTCTTTAACTATGTGAGATACAATGGGTCGACAGAAAAATTAACCCAGTCAGTTGCAAATAAAAAGATTGATAGATATCATCAGGTAACCATTATTGTAAATACAAAATATAAATAAATCAAAATAATATTTCAAATGATAGTCTTCCTTTTCTGTTTCTGATTGACGATTGTCACATCAACACATGAGCAAAAATGTCTATGAACTTGACTTGTACTTTAGGGCATCATGTTTTGATATCTAAAGTTTTATTCCTATTGCTAACTTTAAACTCTTAGAAAGCAATTTGTTTCAATATTTCCAAAATTTTTCCCTTTACACTTAAGACTCACAAGTTGGTAACAAATTCGTTATGGCAAGACTGAGTTTTTTTTTTTTTTCTCCGATGATTCTAGAAAACACCATTCTCTGTATAAAGGGAAACTTCTAGTTGAATTATAACTGTAAATAATTATGAGATAAAGCGCACTATGAACTATTACCCCCACGTGCTCCTCTATTGAGTAAGATTTCACTTTTTAAAAATCAAAGTTGACAGTTGAACAGGCTAATTCAGAAATCCCCTGGGGGACTTGAACTATCTTTTCTGGATGTTCACTTTGCCAAATAAGCTAACTGTAAGATTCCTATCCTGGAGGGTGAGATCAGATACAGATTTTGGGAAGTGTCCCTTTTATTATACCAAGAAATCAGAAATTGAAATGGGGACACCATCCACAATCGGATACTCCAAGAGCTTTTCTTGGAGAGGAGAATGGAGAGGGAAGGGTGGGAAAATCAGCTTGGGCAAGAAGTATGGATCCAATAAGACACCCAGGACAGGTGAGCACCTGTGAGCAGAACTGAAAACTGCAGGTTGGCCAGCCTCCCAGTCAGCCAAGCAGGCAGCAGTACCTCTGTAGAGGGCTTTGTAATCCCCGTAATTCTTTGTTTCCACTCCACCAGGAGGTGGTTCAAACTGCTTGCTGTGCCTGAAAATGTTGGCACAATGCAGCAGATACCTTCATGCAAATGTGATCTCCAGCTACCTGAAATCCTGTTCACAGACTCTGTAGGTAAAGCTGCATTTGATCTTCTTCCTTTGCCCTTCATATTTTTACCCCTCGGTGCCTCTGCACACAGCAGCGCTGGCCTCTGAGGTCAAACCTAATCCTTCTGAGATGATGAGTTAGGATCTGCCTCCCTCAGGACCAGTCTGTTTAGGACTGTGGCTCTTCCAACAAACTGGAGCCTGGAATCCTGAGAAAATGAAACCCAGCACACTCACGTGTTTCGGGGCCACCTGACACATAGGACAGCTTCCACCTGCTGCTGTTCCCTGTCCTTGCTGCGTGGTGAGGCCCCAGTGAAAACCTGACTGAGATGGGACTGTCAGGCTCCCCTCCCCCCCTACCACAAACACGATTAACTTTCCACTTGCAGTGACCTGCCCTCCGGTGTGACTTATCAGCTGTTGGGTGTTTGTCACTAAAAAGAAAACAAATTGTGAAATGTACAGCTCTGCTCCGCTCTGCATGCTAATGACAGGGCCCAGCCAACCCAGGGGGTTCTGAGGTTTCCGAAGGAGGAGAATAATGATCTTCAGTTTCTGACCTCCTGGCACCGGGCGGTATTTATCAGGAGGCGCATGTGACTGGTTAAGACACAGAGAGCCCAGGCTTGAAGGAAACAGCTGCTGGCGGCATGCTCCGGCACTTGGCAGCTGGACAGGCAGGGTGCTGAAGTGAGGAATACGGCCACAAAACCACCCAGTAAGTAACTAGAGACTAGAGACTCTGTGTGTGTGTGTGTGTGTGTGTGTGTGTGTGTGTGTGTTACAAGCTACCAGCAACTTTTATTTTATTTTGATTTTGGTTTCCCTCTGACGCTATAGGAGGAGGTGATTTTATTTGTACCAGTATCCATGTGTGTTTTTAGTGACTTTTTAAGAACCTGCTATTTTTAGCAACATCGTCTTTTAACTTTGAGGATGAATGGGTGTATTGCTTGATTCCTGTCTGTAAAAGTTGATTTCCAGGTGTCCGGGATTTCTATAGTCTGTCATATTTAGGTTTATAGCCAAAATTCAGGCGACAAGTAGGAGACCTGTGGAAGTGAGTGGATGACTAGTTTTGATTCTATTTTATTGTTGAAAACACAGTGGTTTAAAATAACTTGTGAGCCAGGTGTAGTGGTGTGTGCCCACGGTCCTACTACCTGGGAGGCTGAGGCAGGAGAGTCCCTTGAGTTCAGGACTTGAGACTAGCTTGGGCAACATAGTGAGACCCTATTTAAAAAATTAAAAAGTAAATAGATAAAATAACTTTTGAATTTATTAGATGATTAGCTTGACATTTCTAGTCAATACTGAAGAATATTTATTTAAGAGCCTGAGTATAGAGAAGTGACAAAATGATATGCACAGTTAGATTAGAAATCGTATTCAGATTTCATGCATGCTTTCCAACTCACTAAAGCTATATTTTATAGCTCTTTTCTCCAATAAGCTAATCCATCTCCATTGCTTTAAAGTTGAAGTTTTCAGTTGCCCTGGCCTTCCTTACTTTAGTGTTTTGATATTTTTATGATGCTTAGGCTCTTTCTTCTTATTTTTTTTTTTTAACGTGGATTGTAGAAGTGCTGCCTGAATCTAATTATCACCACAGGAGAGGAGGGGCCTGGCATGCAAAACCCTGCGAGGACCTTTTTTCCCAGGTTAATTCAGCAGTAGTGGAGCTTGCTTTTGAGAGAAGTGGAAAGTGGCACCATCCTGGAACAGAGCTGCTGTTTGGATGTTTGTTCTCTGCTGATCGCCAGACAGAAGGCTTAAGAGAAAAGGAAAAAGGGGAAAAGAGAAAGGGCCAAACCCTGAACAGAGAGATGATGTAACTTCTGGAAATGGCAGGCCTCTGAATCAGAGGCTGCAAGGAGATAACCAAGCTGGTTCCTCTCTTTGGATTGCCTGGATAATATTGAGGGGGAGCAGAGAATGGTTGTTTTCATTTGAAGTCTTGCTAGACAGCGTTTTGCCTGGATGAGCCTAGGACACCGAGTATGTGCAGATTAGCTAGAGCATTGTCGTATGGGCTCAAGTTGGCAGTGTGCTTGCAGCTCTGCCCGGCTCCTAGGGCACACTCCCCTTTTTTCATCCTGGCCACTCCTTGTTGCATGTGGAGATTGGACTGGAAATCATTTCTGCTGCAGAGGTTCCTCCACACAGTTTGTCTCAAGTGCTTTATCTTTGACGTCGGCAGCTTCTGATACCCTGCTGTAGGGGGGAAAAAATGTCTGGCTGGCATTTAGAAGTTCTTCCCCTTCTATTCCCTAAAATTCAGGAGAATCGATAAACTCTAGAATCACCAATGATTTAAAAAAAAAGTTATTCTAACCCCTCTGTTCCTCTTTATGTCATTTGTGTGAGGTCCTTGGGTCGTTGTCCACGTGGCTTGTGACTTCCCTTTCTGGCTGCAGGGGACCTGTGACTTCCCTGTCTAACTGCAGGGGCCCTCTGCCCTGCTGAGCTATTCTTTCTTTCATATATATATATTTTTTCTACTGCTGAACCATAACCCCAGCCCCCACTGCTGGGCCATTCTTTAGGGAGTTTTGTTTCTGGCGTGACTTCACAGTGGAAAAGAATTCTCCAGTGAAATCATTTCTTTAGAATAGAGCCTCCCACAATAGAATGCAATATCCACTGAGGTCTGAACTCCCTACTTATCCTAAAGAACTTATAACAACTCATAGGACTGGGGGTATAGCTCAGTGGTAGAACATTTGTCTGGTGTACTTGAGGCCCTGGGTTTGATCCCTAGCACAAAAACAAACAAACAAGCAACAACAAAAGTCCTACGAAGTGGAACATCTCAGTGTGGATCAGAGCCTCCTTTGAATCATCCAACTGCTAAATTTTTGAAAACTCACAGATTTGAGAAGTCCAACGGCACTTTGACTTTTCCAAACACCAATATTATTCAAAAATAATAAAAATAGCTAGTTTACATGACCTAGCACATCCAAACTGCCAAAGAATTGTGGATTTGGATAGCAATTATAAGATGTTTAGCTGAACACCTCTGTTTTGAAGATGAGGCCATTGTAGTTCATGTGTCTGGGTCACAGTGCTGAGTGAGAAACGAGAGGTACACTGTTCTGCTACAGCTGTAGGATAATATCAATGCTGATAATTAAAAAACATTTATCAGGCAACTTGCCGTGCCAGCTGATGTTCACAAGTGTATCTATTTTCATAGAGTTCTCACAATAACTCCTCTATAACCATCTGCGTAGATGGTCCCTGACTTTTGGTGGTTTAACTTAATGATTTTTCAGCTTCACAATGGTGTGAAAGTGATAGGCATTCGGTGGAAACCGCATTTTTAATTTCGAATTTGGATCTCTTCCTGAGTTAGCAGTACGTTGTATGTTCTTCTGAGATGCCTGACAGCAGCAGTGAACCCCAGCTAGAGGTCAACCACAGTACCACTGCGCCAAACAGCCAATACCCTGCAGCATGCCGTGCTGCTAAGCTGTGATGTTCGGAAGGTTAGGAATATCGAATACGCTCTCACATCATGATATTTTCAACCTTTGGTGGGTTTAATTAGGCTATTGCCCCATTTTTAGTTAAGGACCATTTATATTTTATTATTCCAGTTTTATTATATGGGGAAATGAAGGCCCAGAGACCCCTAGGGTGCACGAAAGAGTGACACCTAGGTCTGATTTCAGAATCTGTACACATCAAAAAAAAAAAAAATCAAAGTGGAATGCACGTGGGAATCCCACACATTTGAACGTAAAACCCCATGAAAATGCAAACAAGAGTATTTCCAGCACAATAAAATTAGATACACAGTGTGTTTTATGGCCCTTCCAAACTTCATGGCAGGAAGGGCTAGGCTTCCCCTGAGACCGTCTAAGTCCGGGCCACACAGCACTGACAGGCAGTGTGCTTTTATCTTTGAAAACAGTTTGCAGTGATGGCCCTTGCATCGGTGAGGGCAGCAACGGAGAACTTTGTTATTAACCTGGAACCTACTGCTGTCTCTGCCCCTCCTGGCCTGTCCCTCCATTTTTCCTGTCAGTTTTTCCTTTTCCTTTGGAGGACAGACACTCCACCCAGGCCCCACCCCAAATAGCTGGCTTAGTGTTGATGAAACTGTGTGTGATCAGATCTGTTCATTGTGCTCAACCTGGAAGATGGGGTGTCCAAGTAAGTTATTTCTGAATAGAAACAACCCAGTCCTCTGCTCCCAGTTGTGTGTGTGTGTGTGTGTGTGTGTGTGTGTGTGTGTGTGTGTGTGTGTGGTATAGGCATTGAGGATTGAGGGTACAGAATGGGAAGGAAGAGAGTTTGATGTGAGAGATCCTACTGCCTATGG